GCTAGTGAATGAGCAAAAAGACATTCTATGAGAGTGCTCGACTATCGCCTCAGAGCTACACATGCAAAACAACATGGCAAAAAATAACAACACTTATCCCTTTGCCTAAAGTAGCTTACTACAGGAAAAGGTAGTGAGATAGTACTTCTTGCATTTAATTTCTCCGACAATGACAAAGAATGGAAGAGAAAATTCCATTTTCTCTGGACAGTGAAAAAAAAGGACAGTGATAAAAAAACATTTACGAGGAAAAGAGGAGAAAGAAAATTAAGTGAGATCTGACAACAAGAGAAGGAGACACAGAAATAGAAAGGAAAGGATTTTACCATTCTGGGCCAAAGTTAAGTGTTTCAGCAGTCATATTCTTCCTTCCTTCTCAGAGGTGAAAGTCTACAAACAGAAATACCTGAATGAGAGTATGCAACACACTGAAACATGCTGCAAGCATACTTCTGTTCATTAGCACACACAGATTATTTTATTACATTGCAGTGTAATTAGGGCTGAACAAATTTGGAAAATAATCGATTACGATTTAATATGCAATTATTTTTTAAAGCTGTATTATTCAACAAAGACAAGCTATAAATCATTGTATAGTATGATACAATATTAGATAGATTAAACAAATGTTATTTTCTGTAGGCCAGGCCTATATGTTACGATGAAATTAGGTGATGCATGAATTGATATGACATTTTTATTTAACAACTACAATCACAGTATATTGACTGATTTGTTGAACTTCCAACCTTGTAAGCATGTAATAATTATCACAACATAAAGCACTGACAAATACGCTTGGTGTAAACATTAATATGAAAGTCAGTAACAAATCACACAAATTAAAGTAGATTGCAAAACTATAAAAACAAATCTGTTGCTTTACCACACTACTTTAGGTCATTCAAAGACACTGTAATAAACATGTAAACATGTGGACTGCACTTTTTAAACACTGTCTGTTAATTTCAAACTTTTTTGATCGTGCTCCCCTTTAAATAAATTTTTTTTTTATTTGGCGCCCCCTCCCCCCATCCCATCTCAGACTACCAAATAATGACGGTATATTATGTTTATATACTATGGTATAAACTAGAGGTCGACCGATTCATCGGGTTTGCCGATTAATCGGCACCGATAGTTGATTGGCGGAACTATTGGTTATCGGCAAAAATCAATGCCGATAGTTTTCCGGGTTGCGTCTGTTGCTGGAGTGGCTGAGAAGGGTCCACTGCCATCATACAGTACGAGAGCGGCCTCTAGAGGCGGAAATCACTAACAGCACGAGTTGTTTGTTTTGACATGTGACACTGCACGCTGCACAGAGCGGGAAACTTCAAACATGCATTTAAATGCAGCCGACAGAAAATCCTGCCGCGGAACAGAGCGCCATGCACATATTTTTCCCATTAAATTACATTATATTTGTCCCAAATCATTGTTAATGTACGTAATGACTTCACCCTAGGCTATAAATTATGTATTGTGCTCGTTCTGTGGCTCTAATACAGTCTTTATGCCTCATATAGAGAGCTGTAATACAGATCGCACTCTCTCTTTCCCTTCGCTCTGTTTTTTTTTTAAACACCGAACTTCAAACTCATTTATGCCACATTGTTCATTCTTGAAGCAAACTTATGTCGGTTTGGTGATTAAATAATACTTTTTTTTTTTTTGATTAGATAATCATGCCGTGTTCTAAAATAGAAGCAAATAAAGTGCGAGAGTACACATACAATATCAATAACATATGTAATTTTAATGCTATGGCCTTGTGTATATATTTAAAGATGGCCATCTTTAAGCATGACAGTTGAAATTAAATGGTAATACTTTACAGTAAGAGTCCTTTTGTAATATTAATGAAAGCTGTAAAAGTATTGTTCCTAGTGTGTTTATTTCAACATTTACTATTACTAATAGGTGTATTGTGCTCTTTCTGTGGCTCTAATACAGTCTTTATGCCTCATATAGAGAGCTGTAATACAGATCGCACTTTCTCTTTGCTCTGTTTTTTTTCTAACACCGAACTTCAAACTCATTTATGCCACATTGTTCATTCTTGAAGCAAACTTATGTTCGTTTGTCGACCTCTAGTATAAACATTATGAAAAAATTAATGCTTTTTTAATAGAAAAAAACCTTACAGGAGAAAAAAACACCTGTATAACTTGAAACATTGAAAAATAAAGAGAATAACTTATTATTATTCTCCCTGTTATTTTTTATTTTTTTTGTGGGTTTCCTTAGAGCCCAACCGATATAGCGTTTTGCCGATATTATCGGCCGATATGAGCCTGTCGCTGATATATCGTATCGGCAAATATGCCGCGCGACCTCTAGTATAAACATTATGAAAAAATTAATGCTTTTTTAATTAAAAAAAACCTTACAGGAGAAAAAAACACCTGTATCACTTGAAACATTGAAAAATAAAGAGAATAACTTATTATTATTCTCCCTGTTATTTTTTTTTTTGTGTGTGGGTTTCCTTAGAGCCCAACCAATATAGCGTTTTGCCGATATTATCGGCCGATATGAGCCTGCCGCTGATATATCGTATCGGCAAATATGTCGCCGATATGAAAATAATTTTTTACAGAACATATAACGCAGATAAAATGCTTAAAATGAAATGGTGTAATTACTTAGTTTGTCCAGCAGAGCGCACTCTATTGTTTGCTACTGGCGACCTGGATGAAAAGCTTTAAAGCTTATGTCTATGGAAAACCATTGAAACTTTGAACGGCCATATCTCCGTAACGGTGCAGCGAATCCGCACCAAATTCGGGGAATCCCTTCAGCTTGAGGAACCCTCTCGAATGCGAATCAAGTGTACGTCTAGAGGCCTGCTTTTGAATGAGACCACCCCCGCGTCGGTAGCCCCCCGGCATTCAAGAGGGCTCCTCGAGCTGAAGGGATCCCCCGAATTTGGTGGAGATCCGCCGGCGCATTCGCGAGATGGTGACACCAGTCAACACCTTCACTTCAGTAAGGAGGTCTCTTGGTTCAGGCAGCAGCATTCAAGCGTGGTCTTATTCGACCGTAAGTGCCCTGCGAAGTGGACTTCACATGAAATTCCGCCATGATTCCAGTTCCAAGGGAACGTACACGTTACATTCAAAGGGCATTAAAGTGCGCGAGACGTGAATTTATATTGTATTTATTTACAGAGGTATATTATGTCACTCTTCACACTTCTCTAGTAAGTTTTGTCTGCGTGTGAAGACAGTAGCGTAAATCTGTGAATCAATGTTCCGAAGTGAAATAAACTTCAGCGGAATAAAGTTGAATGGAATTGAATTGAATTAAAGTTGAATAAACTTCAACTTTACTGTTCAGTGCACTGATGTCAGAATCATTTTGGATAGTAAAGTTTATTGTTAAATGCCCTGCCTCCATTACGTATCT